ATAAAATAACCTTGACAATGAATGTCTAAGAATAAACTTCTTGCACAATACGCTAAACTGTAATTTTAATGTGGGCGATATTTGACGCTTTTGTTTTCATGATTATACAAACTGTATGTGTTCTCGAGATAAGCATAATCATTTTTTGTAAACATTTATATCCAAAGCCATCTATCTCGAGCGAGAACTAACGATATAAATTTACAAAATTTTATTGAAATTGGTTGGGTGGTTTCGGAGATTATCGTGTACGAAAATAATGGCTAAGATATTAATATAATAATATATTATAATAAAAATTTTTATTTTTTTGTCAAATAAATAAGAATATAAATAAAAAAATTTTAATATATAATAATATATAGTCTACATGTGTTTTATATAATGTAAAGCATTATTATATATATATATTTCAATGTAATAAAGTATTTATCTATAAGAAAAGTTCTTATTACGTGTAAATAATCGTACTATAATATTTTATACTTTGTTTGATTAGAATCATTTTTATTTAAGAGATATCTTTATTCATCGAACCTGTTGTCGTTCTGTGACGTAATGTACTAAGGAACTTAATTATACCAACACTTACTCCTACGCGTGAATAAAAATAGAATTTCAAAGAATAAAATTTATTGTGGAAATTGTTTATAATATTTAATAATGTAGTTGGTAGCTAGCTGTTAATGTAACACCTTATATGAATTAGGGACTATTGTTTTAATTCAATCATGGACGAAAGGAAAAAAGTGATATCGCGCAATCGCAGCTCTAAATAGTAAAATCACAAATAATAAGAGTTTTGAGAGCCATGGGCTGAATATTCTTAATAGGGCTCCCAAAGAGTTGTGCAGAAATTGCGCAATAGTGGTGCAGAAAAAAATGAGAGCATCTGATAGAGCGTAATATCCCTGTCCAAATTTGTAAATGCTGAACAGACTTTACTCGTATATTTTATTTCAAGTAAAATTTTTGTTGATGTTTGAATCGGCTGTTTTGGTTGGAATTTAAATTTTTGTATTGTTTATTTGCACGGCACTAGTGTTCTCACCAGACTTTACACAAAGCTGATCCATAAAAATCTGTAAAAAGCGTAATTTGGAACTTACGCTCTCAGTTTATATTTTACTTGTATTTTGAGTTTTACTAAGAGTAGCTTGTGAAACAGACCTAGTATAACACTCGTTCAAATCAAATCTCAAATAAAGAAAATTGCACATAATTATATTTTGTCACTGGTGTATATTTTATATGTAATTACAATTGACTATCCCATCAAATAACAGTGAAATATCTAATAAACAATTTATAATTCAGTATTTCATTAGGTCGCATGATTAATATGTTTCATTTAAACTAAGATAATTACAGAATCGAAGTTACTGCTTTCAGTTAACAGAAAAGCATGAATAAAAGTAAAAAGAAAGAAAGATGTATAATGCAAACAGACATAATTAAAACCATCGATTTGATCAATAATATATGGTCTTTAATACCCTAAAGATACATTCATGTAATATGTAATTTATTATAATAATTTAATTTTAAAAATAATTAAAATTATTAAAAATAATTTTTTGAAAATTATTTATGTTTACAGAAATAGATATTTAAAATATCATTTATCGTAAAAATTAGTTTTGAAATCTACTTATATAGTTGTACGGAGAGAGTTTCATTGCCGTACTGTACGTTGGTAATCACACACTGCACTGAACACGCACTGTTATAAGATAATCACACAGCAGCAAATGTGCTCTTTTTTGTGCGCACCGAATGATGATGGTCAAAAATTAAAAATTAAATGCACTTGTATTATGCAGTCTTATACAAAATAATATTTGTTTTTTGGTGACTAGATAAAATGTGATATTTTTGGCACTTGCAAATTCTACAAATTGTCAACACAATAATTGAAAACAATTCAAAACTGCTCAATCCTTTCTATTTGAAGAAATTTTCCTTATATTTTGTTTAAAATAAGTTTTGTTTTTATTTTGATTTATGCCGTTCTTTAGCTGTTCCAGCTCTTTCGTTTTGGACTAAATATTATATATTTTTTGCTCTGTATTCGTTTACAAAATTTCAAAACAGGATATTACCTTAGTATTTTTCCTACTATGGACGTGTGCTAAAATATGCTAAAAGTGATCATTTTTCGGTTAAAAGTTTCCTAATAGCGATTATTAATTTTTTCAATACAAATAACACAAAACATTTTAATAAAATTATTTTTTATTGTCATTTTCTATATTCTTATATTTATTTGAATTCAATTATGAAAATATTATCTTATGAAAATACTAAAATGGCAACCCTGGCGATTTAGTCTCGACTTAGCTACCTCGAAAATATGCTAAGTATCGACACATTACTACATTATCGACACAACTTAGAATTTCCCTCATTTAGAACGCAACTTAGCCTAACTCGCACACGACCTAAATAGCTAAAATACTCGTACTAATATACAGTTTATTCTTAATTCCTGGAAAAAGGTTATGTATTATATACAGAAATAACTATCCACGTATTTTTTTAATATGTATTTATTACAATAATTATAGAAGAATTAATTTTCTAAATTTTCGAAATTATAATGTGGAGCAAGAAATTAAAATGTACACTATTTTACCATATTCATCTGAATGTCATTAATTTTATAATTCTTTATTATTAATAGACATAAAAGGTAACACAATGAATAATAATAAATCACAAACATTTAACAAGTTGAAAAAAAATAAAGTAATATTGCCAGAAACGGTAGCTGCTTCTTCTTCTAAAAGCAACAGAAAACAATAATTTAGCTGTAATATTTTCATTTATTTCGGTTCATATGAAAATACTTATTTACAAATTAGGACATCTGAAAATATCAGCGTGATCAAAATAACATAATATAAAAAAATCAATTTTATTTTTTCTTTAATCTCGAAAGTTCTAATTTCTGCTGCATTAAACTCATTTTTTTACTAATCGTTTGGTTCACCAGCTGTTCCTATAAGAGTTTCTATTCGGAAATCTTTTGCATTATTGTGTTTGCTGGATTGAATGATGGTACAGCTTACATTTGTCTCATTGTACATATCGCTATCTACGCTTCTTCTGCATTGGCTATGGTTTTCACTAGGAGTTGAGGATATCAATATGGAGCTACAAGAAACCTCAGCATTGTCAAATAGTAAATAGTAGGGCGAAGTTCGTTTGTGGTTTAAAGATGTGTTTTTCTCCTTTTTGGTAATGTTATTGACTTTAGTTATGAGTTCTAAATTATTAGTAGTTTTCGCAACACTTTCAACCGAATCGGAAAGATGTGAGTCATGTTCTTGAGAGCATTCGACATCAATTCTGTCACAAGATTCATTGTTTTCATCTGCAAATACACTTTCATATTGGAGAAATTCATTCGGTTCCTCTTTTCTATTCATATAGTGGTTTTGGTTAGTTTCCATGCTGCTTAATTTTCGGCACTTATCATTTGATCTTACAGCGCTGGTCAAATCACTAGCTCGTCTTGCGAAAGAGTTATTTTGAAAAATATCAAATTTATCATTATTTCGATATTGTGAGATCTCAGAATTTGCAAAAAAATTGAATTTTTTATCTGCTATTATTGCGTGGTGCATTGTATCATTTGTGGAATTGACCATGTCGAAACAATCTCTATTATTAGTAAAATTTGGTACGTTGAAATGGACTGGAACAAGCGGCACTGGTTTTCGAATCCAAAATGGAGAGAGTGATCCAAAAACTGTTGGAAACGAAAATCTTTGCATTGCTGGAGCTCTCTTATATCGCTTTCTTCTACGCAAAAAACTGCCATTATCAAACATGTCCTCAGCTAGTGGATCTAATGTCCAAAAATTTCCCTTTCCGGGATTTCCAGGTTCTCGTGGTACTTTTATAAAACAATCGTTTAAACTTAAGTTGTGACGAATTGAGTTTTGCCAGGCGGGAAATTTTTCTTTATAATACGCAAATCTGAAAGAAGAAGTAAAAAAAGGAATTAAAATTTATTTCACTAAATTAAAAAACACAGTAGTTAATAAAGATACCAAAAGTAATACAAAATTATTGATACATGTTTCTAGAGGAAACAATTATTAATATTAATTATGTCTTATATTAAATATTATTTATATTTCTGTACATATGTGACATGTGTGAGAAAAGTGTTGAGGTTCCATCTGTCAGCTATAACTTCACATGTGGTTCTACGAGCTCAAAGATAAAAGTCGTTCTAAAATTTCAAAACTGTCGTTGCTGGGATGAACATCGAAGAACTGCTGTGCTTGCTAATCTTGGACTGAAAACGCATTCACGTAACCACGAACATTTCACTGAATATGTACATAATGTAACTCATATCTTATTTGTATCTGCTCATTTATACCGAAAAGTGCCACTTTTTTGAAAATAATCAAAACAGAAAACATGTTGCGAACAAAATGCAAAATATCCGCCTAATAGAATAGGTCATAAAAATATTGCTGAGCTCGCTAAGGTATACGCATGTTTGAATTTTCATTTGAAAGATTTAAATAAAACATGGTAGGATCTGCGTAGATTCAAACCTTCTAAATATAATATATATCAAATTATGAAACATCACTTTACTATTAAGACTTGGACTGAAAAGTCCAAAATTCTAAATTAAAAAAGGTGAATGAGTTCTAAACATACAAAAACTGTGCTTTCAGCATGTCATGTTATGGCTGCTTGGGGTTGCAAACGATATGTTGCTGCTGGACTTGTACCGCAATTGCAGAAAACAATTGAACCGTTAATTAAAGGGTCTTTTCATTGGTAGTCTTCAAAATTTGTATTGATTCTGCTTATAGCACATTATAGCTGATCCATACTATGCCCAATACAGTTTAATTAGTATTCAATTTTCGTTTAGTTTCTTTTTGTGACTGATTAGATCGACCAGATCTTGTGACTGATTAAACTTTTTCGTACATTGCTAGATGATCTGCAGAATAGGGAACAAAGACATCTTAGTGGTATATATTTTTAAAACCATTTTTGCTTTACATGATGACTTTGTGCTTTGGAATCGCAGAGAATTTTTTATAAGTAATACTTTCAGTATTAAAAGTTACATGAACTTCTTTCCCTTACATAATTGCACACAAAAGATATAACATTAACACAACTTGCGGCCTTCTGCACGATCCTACATACGCTCCTAGTGACTGTTAATTTTATTTAAATATTACCTCTTTATTGAAAATAGTTTAATGCTTTATTAAAATAAAATCCGACTTGATATCAAAATTTTTACCAATAGTCTTTGTTTTGTTTCTAAGTAAAAAGCATTCGAATGATTTAAGTTAAGCAAGAAACATCCAATTCGATATAAAAAAGACGTATTGACTAGTTTGCAGATGCACCATATCAACATAAATACATTGGTTGATGCAAACAATGTCGTGTTATAGTTCGTACAGCTTATCGTTCAACCTACGGTAATTCGATACTTGTTGCCCAAGCATAAGGGACCCTAAATTTTCCGAGAAATTTTTCTCTCAAATGATCCTAACATCTGACATTTCTGTTGGTAATTGTCCATGCTTCTGCACTAGACAGAGACATGATAAGAGACATGTTGAGCGTCATTTTTGTTCGTCGGGCGAGGGCTTTATTTTTCAATTGTAGGTCTTAAGATATTCAAAAAGTTTGTTTGTTGTTGTTTGCATTTTTTTTTTCTAAGTTGAAAAAAGCCGCATCGGCGGCACGGTTGTTCAGACCAACAGTATCAACTTCATCGGCATAGGCAACCAGCACCACCTTTTTGCAAAATATTGTATCAGGAAGATTCAAATTTTCTGCTTGGATTATTGTTTCCATTAGATTACAAAAATCACACTACAAGAAATCACTCTGTTTAAAATCTTGCTAATATCTTGAGCATATTTTTCTAAGTGTTTCAACAGAAGCTGTATTGACCGGAATTGTGAGCATAATTTTGGTTATTATATAAACATTCGGACATACTTCCTCTAAATTATTTTCTTTAATATTCCGGATAAGTTGCTTTATATCGTTGATTGAGTCTTGTGAGTTAAAAGTAGCAGTTTCTCATACAGTTCAAAAGCTGATTGTCGATGTTTTCACCTTTCCGAATAATGTCATAAATAAAACTAATTGACAGTCGATATCAATTATGATAGCATCTATTATGTGGTAAAAGAGTTTATTTTATACTGCATTTCAACGGATTGTATTGATTAATCAAAATGTTCATAACTAAATAATCGTTTCTCTCTCTTCTTTGCTATTATTTCTTCTTTAAATTTAGGTGCAATTTCGTAACTACTTTTTTCTTCAAAGAATTGGGAGTGTTCAACTGTTATTCAAATACAGTATTTCGATAGTACTTTACCCAGGTATGAAATCAGCGTAGACTGTCAATAGCGATCTTCAAGCTTACTTCAGTCACTTGCTGTAGTTTATTTACCATATATTGTTCACAATCGCTTAGAGGTCTAGAGTCATCGGTTTTATTTCTCAGGTCATTCACGCATTCAACAACATCATCAAATTGCAAAAATATAGCTTTTATTGCTTCGATTTGACTCTCCCATTTTGTTTCAGAGAGTGATTTTAAGGTTAATTTTAATTTGGTTTTTGCAAGTTCCCAACGCTTGTTCGACTTTGAAAAAAGAAAGAAAATGAGCTGCATCAATCAAAAGCAAATTCCAATTGTTGCATTCACCTGACGTGAAAAGTTTTTGATTTACTATTCAGGATTCTTTTTCCAACGTCTCTACAAATGCCGACTATATTGGGACCGTCATCATAACCCTATCCTGTTAAGGGCACTCTATGTGCCGTGTTTATGCAGTGATCGAACGCACTTGCAAAGGGAATTTTTCTGCGATTTGAACTGCAAACTTATGATCACCCAACAACTATATAAAATTGATTGAAAATTAAAGAAGTTGAAGCTGAATACTATATTTTATTTCATAGTTTATTGCCTTTGAATAAATTATTATTAATTGTTAATAAAAGTTTAATTATACTACAATTAATTTGGGGGCTCAACCGTGTTTGCAGGTGCTAAAAGCAAGTAAGGCATTGTGCATTCTTTAGAAGAAGTTAAGCTGCGCAACTATAAAGTAACAAGCGTCGGCAGCAGGCAGAAATAGAAGAAATTAAGCTGCGCAACCACAAAGTACTTAGCGTCGGCAGTAGACAAGAAGAAGAAGAAATTAAGAAGTAAGAAAAATAAGAAATTAAGAAGCAAGAAGAAGAGGAGATTTAGAAACAAAAATATTAAAAAAAAAGATATCTGTGATAATCACATCACAAAACAAGAAAGTAAGGTTGAGGAATTGAAAACGAAGCTGTGTGCAGAAGCCTTGTCTACATCAGGCAGGAAAGTAGACTTGCAAAGAAGGCTATTGGTATATTTCGGATTCGCGGATGAAGAGGATGTGTCTGTATATGATATGTCTACCTCCAACGACATACTAAGATATTCTAATATGCTAGAAAAACAATCAGCAGTATTTGGGCATCCAAGTCGTATAGTATCTGATCGTGGCACAGCGTTAACGCAAATGCATTCGAGGAATTTTGTAAGTCAAGAGGCATCCAACATGTCCTTACTTCAACTAGAGTTTCAGGGGTAATAGGCAGGTAGAGAGTATTCATCGAATAGTGGTGCCTATGCTAGCTATGTCAGGAGAAACCTACATTGTGGTACAAACATTTTGACAAAATTCAATTACTTATAAACAACACTTCACTACGTAGAATAAAAGTAACGGCGTTAAAATTTTTAACAGGAGTCGAAATGAAAGCTAACAACGCGACGAACTGAAAACATTATTCAACTAAGAGTTATTAAACGAGCTAGATGAAGAAAGGAATAAGGTTAGGAAAATGGCAAAAGAAAACATCCATAAAATGTAACAAGAAAACAAAAAATCGAACGATTCAAAGCGCAAAGAGGAAAGGAAGTACACAGAAAATGAAACAGTGGCAATAAATACGTTTCAGGGATGAAACTTAGACCAAAATACTTGGGTCCGTATAAGGTCAAATCTCGGTCGCTACAAAGTCTAGTGATCACGAAGATCCGCGTTCGAAAATAGCCATCGCAGAAAATATGAAGGCATGGACCGAGGCGTCTGGGTTGTACGCTCAGTCAGGATAGTCCAAATGTAGGACACTGACAGCAGTGTCAAAAAAGGCGAAGGAAGAAAGAAAGAAGTAGACCAAAGAAGTTGAAGCTGAATACTACATTTTAATTCATAATTTATTGCCTTTGAATAAATTATTATTAATTGTTAATGAAAGTTTTATTATACTACATGTATTTTATATACAATATTGTCTTTACCACACAGTATACCGTAAAACACTCTATTTGTGATTAAAGACGCTAAAAAACTTGAAACTGATGTTGCTATTGTTGTTGTAAATTTTAAGGCTCACCGAAAATTTGTTCTCAATTACTACAATATATGTAGTAATTTCTAGTAATATATGTAGAAAGTTTTAAACATTTTAAAAGGTAAATGAGTTGAGTGACTAGCTCGAAAGCCATACTAATAAGATCCAATCACATCCTGCGACTTCAACTTTTTATACACTGCATCTTATCTACTTGAACTACACGCGTTTTGTTACACAAATCTCTCTATTGAAAACAATAGTTTATATTAAGACTTAAGTTTCTTTCGTCTAAAATTATATTAAAAATTAATTTAAAATACAAAATCATGTGCAAATAAATTGTTACACCCATTCCGGAGCACTCACAGTGTGTTGTCACAAATAGCCAACTATTGAAGAATGGACGTAGTTAGTTATTGTGTTTATATATTTTGATCAGTTTTCTAATAGAATTGTTTATCTGATTTAAGATTATTTTGTATAATGAATTTCTGGTTTTGCAACGTCTATGTTTTTCTTTCCGACTCTCCTTAATTAGGTGTACCTATTATCTCAAGTAAATTGTTATA